TAGAAATAGAGCTAGTCAGACATGGGTGAGTATAGGACCCAGATGAGTCTTGGGATCCTGTGCCAGGATTGGGATTGGGACATACAAAACTAGAAAGTAGAAAGTGAACAGGAGTTGAAATTTTTCCCTCACTCTTCCTCTACTTACCTTTCTGGGGCAAAGGGATTTCCCTCTCTAAGAAGCTCAAAACTGGTTTAAAAAGACAGCCTTGAAGGGAAACAGACTAAATTATCTATCAACAGGAAACTCATTAAATCCATGCCATGTCATGGATTATTACATGGCAGTATGAAAGACTAAGGAAACTTTCCACATATTGATCATTCTAAAATGCGTTGCATAATATATAAGATAGGAGGCATAATACACCACCATTTGTATAAGAAAAGAAATATATGTTTAGACCACTTACATTGAATATACTTATATGATGTCTTAAGTCTGCCATTATTTTTATTTTCTGTTTCTCATTTATCTGTTTTCCCTTCCTTGTCTTCCTGTGGGTTGTTTAGGATTTAATTTTGACTTATTTGTACTATTTTGAAGTATTAGTTTGTATAGCTCTGTGAATTGAGTATTTGTGTGTGTGTGTGAGAAAGAGAAAGAGAAAGAGAGAGAGAGAGAGAGAGAGAGAGAAGCTTATCATAGTCTATTGGATCAATGTTTTTCACATTTGTACTTCCATTTAGGTCCCTTTATCTTTCTACTTCTAAATATTATTCTCTTGAGTATATCAGGTGGTATTATAATTTTTGCACCAATCATCATGTATACTTAAGAAAACTAATGAAAAGGATAGTCTTTTGTATTTACCAATATTTCTGCATTGTTCTTTCTTCCTAATATAATGTAAGCTTATCATTTCCTTTCTTTCGAAGAATTTTAGTAAGCCATTCTGTAAGAATAGATCTGCTTGTGACAAATTCAGATTTCCTTTACCTGAGAATTTATTTATCCTTGATTCCCACAATATAGTTTCCCCAGACACTGAAGTTGTACTTGACAGTTCTTTTCTTTTAGAAAAAAAAAACACCAGTGTCCTCTGTTGCTTCAGATAAAAAATATGCTGTGATTCAAGTTGGTGTTACCCAATAGGTAACGTGTTGTTTCTCTCTGGATGCTTCTCAGATTTTTTTTTCTTTGTTTTTAGTTTTCAGAAGCTTAAATTATATTGGATTTGAAATGGATTTCTTTGGGTTTATCCTATTAGAATTCACTCAACTTCTTGAATTTGCAAGTTTATATCATTTGTCAAATTGTGGAAATTGTCAGCCACCAATTCTTTGAGTATTCTTTCAGTTCCATTCTGTTTCTCCTCTCCATTGAGGAAGTCAATTTTATAAATGTTGAATCTTTGTTATTGTCCTGCCAGTTCTTGAGACTATCTCCCATTTATTTTCTCTCTGTTTTCCAACTGGGTAAATTTTATTGGTCTTTCCTCAACCTCACTGATTCTGTCCTCTGTCATCTCTGTTCTACCATTGAGCTCACCCAGTTAGAGTTATTATTTCTGCTATTTCTTATATCTATAAATCCAGTTGGATCTTTTAAAAAATAACTTCTATTTGTTTAGCAAAATTTCCTATATTTTTACTTATTTTAAGATAATTTTCAATTGTTTATTGAATCTTTTTTATGATGATTGACTTGAAATACTTATTAGACAATTCCATTATCTGACTCAGGTCAGCATGGCAGTCAGATGATTGTTTTTCTCATTTGAGTTGTGATTTTCTTGGTTCTTTAGAATATGGATAATTTTGATTGCATCTGGATATTTTATACTATTTAGGAGACTCTGGGTTCTATTTAATTTGTTTATTTTAACAGGTAGTCACCCTGGTTGAGTTGAGTATATAGGACCTAGCCCACTTTTGTGGGTGGTTCCAAGGACAACCTAATTTTCAGAGCCTTTAGGTCCCACTGTGGTCTCTATTGTCTGTCTCCTGCCTCTGAGGCTGCCACAGCCCTTGTTGATAGTAGTTGAGGAGCCGAAAGGAATTTCACCTAGTTGGGTACTTTAAGGTGAAGGGAGACCCAGCCTGCAGGGACAAAAAGCACTTCCTGGGCTGGATTCCTGTTGCAGTGGGTTCCCCCTTTCTAATGTTCTCTGTCAAGTGGGGTCTCTATGTGGGACTCTCAGGCTGGTGAGAAAGAAAAGTACTCTCCCTGGCCCATTATTGTTAGGGGGACCTTCGGGTGGCATTTCTTGCTGTATCTGCAAGGATTGTCTGGTGGTTTGGGCAGGACTGAATCCCTTCTGTTTCTAGATTGGATGTTGGGAAAAAGCAGACCTGGGTTACCTCCTGATGGGTGAGGATAGAGGAATCATAAGATGCTTTGCTGCTGTTGTCTCCCTTTGCTCCTGAGGTCCCTAACCAATCTGCCTCCCTCTTTCTGCCTTTCAGACATCCCTTTTGATTGTTTATTGTGTTATTTTCAAGGACTTTAGTTATGCTTAGCAGGGAAGGACAAGTCTATGCAGTCTTGCCTAGACTGGAAATTCTCCATTTATGCTCCTATGAGCATAAGATCTCTAAGGGTCCACAAGGAAGTGATAATACTCTCCCCCCCACCACCCCCAGGAAGTGACCTAGGGGATAAGAGGTAAATGGGAGACCTTTTTTGTGTGTACCTATATGTACGTTCTCATTTTAATCAAGTGAATATATTACCTATTCAAAAATAAAAATAAAATGTAAAAGAAACAGCCTCCTAACTCAACATTGTTTTCAAGAGGACAACTAAAAATTATATCAGAGGGCATGCAGCACATGGATTCAACAGTTGGTAACTGTATTAAATTTCATTGACTTTTAATTTCACTATGCTGTCACTACTTTGATCCAGATCTCTGAATATAAGAATAATATTCTCAGTGGATTTGCTGCTTGCTCATACATTTTGAATAACTTGCAGAATACAAATGTGTAATTTAGATAGAAGTAGATGCTTTCAGCAGCATACTAGTACCCTAATCAGCTGAAAAAATAATATTTGTATGACATTAAAACAAAATTAATAGGAAGACACTGGTTACATGAAAATACTTCTTTGTGTTGTAATTATTAAACTTGTAAACAAGTCAGCATAATTAATGCCTTAATTAGGATATGACCTGAAATTTTAGCTTCCAAAATTAATAAAGGCAATTAAAAGGCACATTTGTAAATTAAAATGAGTTTTAAGAATTACAAGGTAGTTGGACAAAACTTTTTTATTCTCATTTGGGGGACATTTTTGTAGATATTGAACCTACAATGCAATTGCTCTGATACCCATCCATAAGCCCTAGCACAATAGCACAGCCTGAATCCTTAAGAGTCAAATTTAGTGACCTTCAGACAAGAATGTGCCCCAATAGGGGCTGAGCATTCCCAGAACGCTCCTTCTAGATAGTTCTAGGGAAAAATGAAACAGCAAAGACTTTTCTCTGAATCAGAAGACTGATATTTACAGACTTTACCACTTTCACAAAACTATTTAGGTACAAATAATAGTTTTCACTGCTATCATTTATTCTTTAATACAAGCTTCTTGAAGGCATTTCAGATTGCATAGTTCACCATGTGGTGAAGCACAATACAAGGCCAAAGAATTTTCCATTAGTAGATAACAAAGGAAAATTTAATGAATATTAGTGGGCTGGTGATTTGGAAAAAAAAAAACTTATTTAATAAGGACTCCTACCTTATTCCTTTATGCCAAAATAAACTCCAGATGGATCAAAACTGTAGTAAAATAGCAAAATCATAAATGTACTAGAATAAAATAGGAATAAATATTGTAATTGAGAGAGGCTTTTTTAACCGTGACAGGGAAAACAAAAACCATAAAGGAAATGACTAACAAATTTGACTATTCAAAAATATTTAAAATTCCATAACATTAAAAAATCTAATTTTAAAATTTAAAAAAATTAAAATTAAAATTTTAAAATTAAAAATCCAATTTAAGACCAAATCAAAAAGTAACTTCCTATAAAGGTCTACTTTATTTCCAAATAAAGAAATAATTGGAAACATGCATTATGATTGGTGCAAAAGGATATAAAATAAATTAAAATAACTTACAGCTTCAATAATAGCTCATAAAATGATTATATGAACTGGAGAATAACTATAGGCTGCAGGAGAAAAGGGTGAAGGAAAGAAAGAGAAACTGTGGGGCTGAAATAGGGCAAATTATATTCCGTGCATGTATGATCATGTCAAAATGAACCCCATTATTATGTATAACCGTACTGCACTAATACAACTTTAACAATCATAATATGTAATGACTTCATGATATTTTCAATGAAGGACCTATAAAAAGATAGTTGGAAAATATAGATGAATTCAATTTAATTTTTAAGCATCCTATCTCGACAGAAAAAAAGACAAAAAATATTAATAATTATTATTTCTATGATAGAATTATGAATAAATGTCACTGTTTTCATTTTTGGTAATTTGCAAATTTTTTACAATAAGCAAATTGATTTTGTACTCATTTTTTTTTATTCCTTGGAGCTTTAAATGAAAGGATATTTCTATTTTCCTAAAAGTAGCTAACACAGAATTAGATTAGATATGAAAAATCAAAACTGAGGTCTTTAATAGTATAGCTTATAATATAGCAATTTTAACAAACTCCCTTTTATTAAAAAAGAAAGAAAGCCCTCCACCAGATTCAGCAATGCTATATCACATGGGTTAATTGCAGCTATTGGTTGTAGTTGGTCCTCCTCTTTCTCTCTCTTTCTCTCAGATGCAGGATGAGAATTCTGGCTGCCCTTTCCTAAGGCCTGGTATCATACCAGATAATTCAATTCTTCCTTGAAATCATTGTCATGCCTGTCTATTCCTGTCTATGTTGCAGAGCAGGCAACATGGGGTCCAAAATTCAGATTACCTGGTCTTGGCAAGAAGCTTATGTCTTAATTGGAGCCACTTGCTAGTCACAAAATTGCTATCAGTAGTGGCACAGGAAATGTCACCATTGAACTTCCTCTGTACCTGTAGGTTTTCTTAATTTCTTCATTTGATGCTCCCTTAGGCAAACCAAGAATTTCATATAGAGCTTCTCCAGTTGTCGACAAAGTCCGCTGTCTTTGGTTAGGTATGTTACATGCCATATTCTCAAGCTGCAAAACCAGAGGGAAAAAATAGTCATGAAGGTCATGCACACTGGATTTCTCTCTCTGAAAGGGAAGACAGTTCATTCTTAACCTTTTGTGAAATGACAATCTGAAGTATGTTTGTGTGCTACCTGCAAAAGGAGGGGAGAAAAGTGTTAAGAGAGCAAAAAAAAAAAAAAAGAAAAAAAAAAGTCAGGTGTCAAAGGATACAGACAGCCACACAAATAACATACAGCTTTATCTATGTGGTTATATATAAGCAAAATGTTATGTTACCTAAACATCTAGCTAATTTAGAAGTGTTGAGAATCAGTCTTCACAGATTTTGCAGATGTAGGAATTTTGTTTTGCTTTGTTTGGGTAGAATTTTCATAACTTCTTTTTCTTCTCTCTCTCTCTCTCTCTCTCTCTCTCTCTCTCTCTCTCTTTTTTTTGCTATATTTTCCAAACTTAGCGAGGAATGGAAAGAATCTTTCTTTTTATTCCAACTTGATTGGTCTAGCCATTGATCAAGAGTTTGAAAAACAAAAACAAAACTTTTTAAATACCAGGAAGAAATTCCTGGCCTCCTCTAGGACCTATGTTAAAAATTCTCTGCAGCTGGAGCTGTGGAATCCCAGAGGTCTATACCCCTACCCTACAACACTCCTTGGTTCTGTACCTGAGCTCACTCCTTTTCCTTTGGTCTATCCAGAAATGGTTGGGCTATCAATTCCCAAGGAGCCATTTGCCTGTGCATCATGACTCTGGGGGACTCAGGAAGCAAGCAGATCTGGTCAGGGGGGATTTGGCATTTCTGTATTCTCTACATGGGGCTTGGGGTATGGCTCAGTGGTAGACTGCTTACCTAGCATGTGCAAGGCCCTGGCTTCAACTCCCATCACCAAAAACAAAAATACAGAATGTATTCACAAGTTAAATTCTCTAAGCATTAATATCTTCACCTGTAATAATGTAAAGATGTTAAAGTTCCCCACATAACAATATCTTAAGTGTATACAAATAATGCATGTAATGTATCCAGGACATAGCAATCTCATGGAAATTTACTTTCATTAAAGGCAACACATAGTGCACTGTAGTCAACCCTCTAGGGTAGAAGATTGGCCTTGCCATTTTTTGCTCTATGTGCTTCCTCATTTGTAAATTGGAGATGAAAATGTACCGTAAACTCATGGAGTGTTGCAACAATTAAATGAGTTAATATATATGTGTACACAACAGTGTATGTATCATCAGTAAGCATAAAAGTTAAAGGGTACAACTCAGTGTTCATCCCCACAAGTGAACAGATGAACAAAATGTCATGTATTCATAGAATGAAATAATTATTGAGACGTGAAAATAAAGTGGAACTCTAACACATACTACAACATAAACAAACCTTGAAAATATTATTCTAAATGAAGGAAGTCAGTCACAAAATGATAAATATTGTTTCATTCCATTCATCTGAGGTACCCAGAACAGGCAAATTCATAGAGACAAACAGTAGAATAGAAGATGCTAGGGGCTGGGAAGAGTGGGAAATGGGAAGTTGTTGCTTACTAAGTGCAGGGCTTCTGTTTGGAATGATGAAAATTTCTGGAAATAATTGGTGGTGATGGTTATATAATAAGGGGAATGTACTCAATGTCACTGAATTACACACTTAAAATGGTTATCAGGGTAAATTTTGTTATGTATATTTGTTATGATTTGGATGTGAGGTGTCCCCAAAAACTAATGTGTGAGACAATGCAAGAAGGTTTAGAGGAGAAATGATTGGGTATGAGAGCCATAAGCCAATCAGCAAAGTAATAATTAACTGATGGGATTAATTGAGTGGTGATTGAAGTCAGGTGGGGTGTGGCTAGAGGAGGTAGGGCATTGGGGTCATGGCTTTGGGGTATATATTCATATTTGGCAAGTGGAGATCTAACTCTTTCTGCTTTCTGATCACAAGTGAGCTGCTTCCCTCTGCCACACTCTTCTGCCATGATGCTTGACTTCACCTTGAGCCCCAAGGAATGGAGTCTGCTGTCTATGGATTCAGACCTCTGAAACTCTGAGCCTCTAAATAAACTTTTCCCCACTGCCTTTACATGCTGGGTATAAAACTCTGAAACTCCCTCAACTCGGGTTCAGGGGATTAATTAATTACAGCAAAAGCTGTGCCCTCTGAACCTGGCTGCAACCAAATAAAACTGTTTCCTGCTAAACAAAAATAAATAAATAAATAAATAAATAAATAAACTTTTCTTCCTCCACAATTGTTCTGTTCAAATCTCTTAGTTACAGCAGGAAAAAAATCTGACTAAAAGTAATATTTTATCATAAGAGCAAAATTGAAACAACTACAAACAAAAACTACTGAAGACTGCAAGCTCATCTGACCCAAGTTCTTTGAAAATCATTGTCCATCTCTTGGCTTTGGGCCTTGTGCAGCAACTGCTATAAGAGAGAATGAATATGAATGAATCAATATACCAGGGCTAAGGAGGTGGTGTCAAGGCTTTGGAGATGCTCATGGGCAGCACAAGGAATCCCTGATTGACAATGGTGCATCAGAAGAGCTGGGCATGCACATCCCAATGGTGGATAAGCACAGTTAGAGCAAATCTCCCATCCCTGCTCCCACTAGGTTATGAACATCAACATGGGCAAGGGTAGAGGCCACAGGATGTCACCTGGTGGGTCAGGTGGTCTTAAAGTCCTCAGAAATCCGCAAATGGTATAACAAGGGCTGGTGGCCCTAAGGAATTCAATTAAAGAGAACAATATCCAGAACTTCAGAATGTGTTTGTGAGCCTTCAGCTTCCTTCAAGTTTAAGAAAAGGAAGGCACTTGTGAAGGGAGTCAGGCAACAGGCAAAACCTCTGCAGCCTTGAAGGCTCTGAGGACAGAACTAGCCAGCCATGGCTGCAACTGGGCAAGGTCAAGGGCTTGCCATGTGACATGGCACATTGTCCACTCCCATAAAAGCCAGGAAACCTTGGTTCACATAAGGGCAGAGGAGAAGGAACCCTGATTCTACCCACCACACTATAAAACCAAACAGACACACACACTGACTGGCAGCCACTCGGTAAATGGCTACGTTTATTTCACCTCTGCTCTGCCTGACTTTTCTCACCCATTCTCATCTGAATTTTCCTGGGGAGTAAGCAATTCAAAATGGGTCTATGTCATCCTAACCCCATAGCTCAGCCCTATCTTGGAAATATATAGCCTTGTTCACTCACTATTTGCAACTGAAGGAAAAATTGCCTGAGTAACTGATACCTTCCTACTTCCTTCCCAGTCACCTCTCCTCTGCCCTCACCACCACCACCCCCCCCACACACACACACTCAAGATACTAATAATTTTCTGCCCCACATATCCACCTAATGTTTCCCAGTAAGCAGGTAGCCAACAGGTTTCTCTACAAGTCATACCACATGTCATGAATTAATAGGATTCTGTGTGGCCCTTATATTGTGGTGGACAAGCACAGGACCACAGTCAGCCTACTAGCTCCTTTGCTGGATAGCACGATCCCCAAAGTCACTGGATGGCCATACTAAGAGCATACTAACAAATCCCACTTCTGGGCTTAAGTACAAAGGAAATGAAATCAGTGTGTCAAAGAAATATCTGCACTCTCATGTTCATTACAGCACTATCCACAACACGATGGTATAGAATCAACCTCAGTGTCTACCAATAGATGAAGAAGATGTGCTATATAAATACACAATGGGTTTATTCAGGTTTTGTTTGTTTGTTTGTTTGTACTGGAGATTGAACTCCGGGGTGCTTAACCACTGAGCCACATCCTCAACCCTTTTAATATTTTAAAGATATTTTAAAGATCCTGTAGAGACAGGATCTTGCCAAGTTGCTTAGAGTCCTGCTAAGTTGCTGAGGTTGGCTTTGAACTTGTGATCCTCCTGCTCCAGCCTCCTGAGCTGCTGAGATTACAGCATGCGCATCACACCAGGCTCCATTCAGTTTTACAAATAATCTTGTCATTTGAAAAAGCGTAAATGAGCCTTGGAGGACATTATACTAAATGAAATAAACCAGACACAGAATAACAATCACCATGTGATTTTATTTACACGTGGGATCAAAAAAGTTTATACTCAGAAGCAGAGTAGAATAATAGTTATGCTGGAGTGGAGGTGGGGGATCAGAGAGATGTTGGACAGAGGGTATAAAATTTTAGTTAGACCGGAAGGATAAGTTTAAGAAATCTATTGTACAACATGGTGACTAGAGTTGATAATCATGTATTATAGTCTTAAAAATTGCTAAGAGCAGATTTTAAGTGAGAGAGAACTTCACAGAAAAGGTGAAATCTGAACTTCTAATAACACTATGATTCGTCTCTGTAGAACTTGGTGTATCTTTTTCTATTTTGTTCTTATATCCAGGTACAACTTTGGACCCATATGGACTTGGACCCAGTGACTTTTTTGTTCATTTATTTACATAAACCACAATGAAGGACTTCTGGGTTTGGAGGCTGAAAGAGGAGGAAGAATCTAGCTGAGAGAGAAGATGAGAGGAGTCTAGACCAGAAAGGCTAAAGACCAAAGAGATGTTTTCATGTTAAGGGATAAAGGGAACAAAGGTTTGGAACTTTGAACCCTCATCACGGGGAAAGTCGGCACCCAGGCAGGTTCAGGCCAGCATTTTCCTACCCAGGAAGCAGAGGCAGAGCATGTGACAGTCAGGGGACATTGCTGCTCCTCCCCAAGGCCTGCTAAGAAGGGATAATCTCAGATGGCCCACAGTCACTTCTGAAAATGTTTGCAACATTCCTGGGGATGCTCAGAAATGTCTGGGATCATTGGAAGCTTCAGAATCCCAATATAAGAAAGACTTAGTACCCACAAGGGACAGAAAGGGTGAGGGTAGGAGGAAGTGAGGGGCTTAAAGTTGGATAGATTAAGAAAATCATTAAGAAAATAATGATCTATATGTGTACGTCAAAATACACTCTATTGTCATTATATCTAAAAGGAACAAATAGATTTTTTTTAATTATCCAAATAAAAAAAATGGGGACTGATGCTCATAGAGATGATGGGGGTGAATGCTGGACACCCAAGCCCCTCTCTGCAAGTCTCCCTTAGCATTGGCACATCTTCAGGGGAATTTTGCAGGGAGTAGAGCGCTGTGGTTGCACAGGTGAGATCTATCAGCAGAATAGCATGAAAAGCAATGAGGCCTCATTTATCCCCATAGCTCATGGGCTTGGGAACAGTGGTGTCATCACGCCCAGCAAAAAGTTATTACCCAGTCACGTGTCCCTCTTCATGACGGTACTCTGAGGTCCTTAAGGACTATAAATCTATTTTTGTATTGATCTTCATAATCCCAGTGGCAGATGGTCTTAACATTAGTATACTACATGAAAAGGAAGGTAAACAGGGAACTAGCACTTACTGAGCACAGGTCTGTGTCATATCACTTAATCCTGATATCAACACTTGAGGGCATCAGGAAGGGACCCCCCAGGAGTTCAGAGAAACAGATTGCTTTCTGAAAGTTGAACAGGGAAGTCAGTGGATAATGGATCACGGAAGAGCTATCTTACAGTCATTCTAAAGAGATAAACGTCTCACAGGCCTGCACAATGGCTGGAAGCTGATAACTGCCTAAATGTAGAGTTAGCAGATTTTTCTTGTGTTGTTATTCAAAAGAGTGATTAGATGGGAACATGAAGAGAAAAGCAAATGTAGAGGCAAATGCTGGCTGGGCCATTGAGGCACAACTGAGGGGAAAAGCCCAAGGATTCAGGTCCCAATTGAGTCTTAACCATTCCAGTGATGATTTACCTTTCCCTGAGGTCTGCCCTTGCCCTTTTCCTTATAAGAATGATAAATTAATACCTAGATTTTATGCATCATCCTGGAACAGAGTTAGAGGGAGTCTGGCCTTCAGCAAGGCCTGCTCTCTGGGTCTGCTCAAGTCAGCTGAGGCCCAATGAGTCTTACTGTTTCAATCACAATAAGTTCATGATATGTTGATTACTCCCACCTTATGCAGGATTTTTTTTTTTTTCAGTGCTAGGAATCAAACCCAGGGCCTTATGCATGCCAGGCAAGCATTCTATCACTGAGCCACATTCCCAGTTCTATGAAGGCTCTTAGAATAAAACTACCTGGTAGCCCCCAAGAGGTAACAGGGATTTGCCCCTATGTATTGCTCTCCTATTTTATAACTGAGGAAATTGAGTCCAACTGAAGAAAAAAATTATTTGCTCAGATTAACACAGGGAACTCTTGAATTCAGATCTGCCTGATTCTAAAGCCTAAATTCTTGCTAGTGTGCCCTACTGAATAATACTCAATATTTGAAGATGCTTTACAATACTCATCATTTCCCACAGCCAGTAATTTCATTTGATCCTCACAAGAAAGCTGAATGGTGATGACACTAAACCAAAGCAGCCTTGCACTGTTTCTCTCTCCAGGTCAAAGGGGGCCCCCTGATGCTGTGTCTAGGGTGATGGGGGCACATGAAGGTCCAATGGGATCTCAGGGCTACAGTGCAAGTTTCCTCCCTCAGTGGGGCCACTGAACTTACATGTAGACAAAGAGAGTTCCCAAAGGAGAGTTAAGAAAGAGGATAGTTAAGAATGCATGGGTTACACAAAAATTTTGAAACTTCTGCTAAGAGTACAATTTTTAAGTCACATAGGGATGAAGATTTCTTGGCCACTGGGTCAAATCTGCCTGAAGCATCTCTAAGGAGCCTTGTGACAACTCTCAGGACTATGAAAACCACATTGCCCATAGCCCTGAGGCCTTCTAGTCTATGCTAAACTTGTTCCTGTTACGAAAATAACACACTCTTCCTTCTCTATTCCAAAACTTCTAATTTTTAATTATTTTCCCTTTTGACTAGGGAGTGATGGGAAGAGATATATTAGATTTGGCATTAGGTATCACTTTTACTAGGTTCACCAATATCTGTGAGCAAAATTATTTGCTCAGATTAACACAGGGGACCTCTTGAATTCAGATCTGTGAGCAAAACTGTCGGCCATTAGCATTCATAGTCTTCAAGAAGACACTGAGATTCCTAGAGAGGAGAATTGCTTTCCAATTGTGATTAAGGCATCCCCCCGACTCCCCCACCCCGAGCCTGGAAAAGTTCTCTGGAACCATGGTGAGCACCAGCATATAGCTGCTTACCATTTGAAAGTCGGTCTCCTTCAAAATTATCCCAAGTATGGAACAAGGGAGATAGTCTCAGTTGGGGGCTACACCTAAGCCTTTCTAGAGCATCATCCTGGAAGCATCCTGGGGCTCATGCTTCCCTACCCTAGGCCCATGTTTCTACACACTCTTCCCAATGGGGGGAAAAGGCAGATTCTACATCTCAGTTTCACAAAATGGTAGGGTAACAAGCTATTTCTCTGGTTTATATATATTTTTCAAATCATCACTTCACTTAAAAATCTAATTACACGCTGGGTGTGGTGGCACAGGCCCACAATCCCAGTGGCTTGGGAGGCTGAGGCAGGAGGATCACAAGTTCAAGGCCAGCCTCAGCAATTTAGTGAGGCCCTAAGCAACTTAGTGAGACCCTGTCTCAAAATTAAAAATACTAAGGGCTGAAGATGTGGCTCAGTGGTTGAACACCCCTGGGTTCAATCCTTCGTAACTCTTCTCAATTCCAATCACATTATAATTTATTCCTGCTAAGTGAAATCCAGTAGTTGTTGGTTGCTTTGTGGTGTGAATTGATCAATACTAACAATGGGTGGTATGGAGCACTTACTGTATTTATTGTCTACTCTGCCCTATTCCCCAAAGGTTTCTTTTTAGACAGATAATATCTCTTAATTAAGGTTCTTTCAAAAAGTCCATTTGCATTATATTGAAACTGAAGAAAATAACACACTCTTCACTCAATAGTTGGCTGACTGTATAGACTGCAACAGAAAGGAAAAGACTGCAAAGCTGCTTTGTGCATCAAGTAGCAGCGACATACTTTTTCTGTCTCCTTGTTGAGCTAGAAGCCAGACTTCTCATATATTATTGATTTACATGACATTTGGCTTCAGATTCAATAGAATAATATGTTCAAATGCTTAAAGTATGAAAACAAAGATCTTACGCCTCAGATGCTCACTACAGAGTAGTAGTCAAAACATCTTGTAAAAATGCTTCCCAAATAAGCTTATATAAATCATGAAACCATAACATTATTTAATTCCTTATAGAAAATACCCTTGATTAATTCTATTTCTATAGTCTTTGGAATTCTAATATTCTTAATAATTCAAGTCTTTATTATTTATTCATGGTCTTTCATCTACAAGCCATCCAATGGGGAAAATGTTGTCATGCAAAGTCATTAAGTAATTTAATTTTAATCATCCAGTACATGATACTTTATCTTCTGAGCTTAGATTACTCTTTAGCTGAATTATAATGCCATTAATATCACAATTTCTTAAAGCATTAGCCACTATATAGTCACTACTGAGCTCTATGCTGCTCCCCTGTTTCTATACAATTTTATGTTGAAATAAAAATTTCCCTTCAAAGCAAAAGAAGTTTCACCTATGTCTGTTATGTGAATTTTGAAAAACGGAAAAAAAATCAAGCTATGCATTTCTTGCCAGGGTCCCTTCATAATAGAGAACATGAATGTGGGCAGGGGCTATTAACTCATTAAACACAGCAAACACACTTCCAACTGTTGTCACTGGGGACACCAACATGTGTTACCATTTCATTGTTACTTTTCCAATTCCTTTATAGAAATCTGTTTAGTGGAGCAAAATCCCCATAATCCAGATAATTTGTCTTAAAGCCAAACACATCCAAAAGGTAACCCTGTGTTAAAAGTAATCACTCTCCCCAACATGATTACGTATATGCAATTTGGAAAAAAAAAATTTTTTTTAGCTCTAGTATGTATACAAACAGTCCTGAAGATGAGGCAATTTGGAATTGTTACAAATAACCCACTGTACCTGTTCCTATGACTCCAATTCTGTTCTCCAACAGGAACAACTTGCTGTTTTCAACTAGTCTGAAAGTAGGCGTGCAGAGAAATAAAAGAAGGCAACCACGAAAAGAGCTGTTCCATACCTGTTCTACTGTTCAGAGCAAACAGCTGCTCCTTTCCATCATTCCCAAGCAGGAGTCCAGTAGGTCAGTGGAGTCAGGTTACTTTTCGGCAGCTACTCTATCAGCCAATTGGTTATCCCTCTGGAAACCATAACAAAGAGAGAATAAAACATGCATGACGGTACAGTTTGGTATTACAAGGCATCCAGAGATACCAAAATATATACTACACCCACTCTTCATTCTTTTTCAGCCAGTGCCTGACTCCTTAAAAGGACTTTCCATTAGGAAAACAAGCTAATCTCTTGACCTATAGAGTTAGGTCTTTGAAATTTTCTTTACTTATTTATTCATTGATTTATTCAGTTTTGATCTAAGGCCCTGTCAGTTGATTTATAATTGCTGGAAAGACCATGCAACATTCAGAAGGGGGACATGTAAATTGCTATCTGTATAAATCCAAGTATTTTCATATCAGTACATTGTACCCTAATCTTCTTCAGAAGGCATGGAGTCACAGTAATTGAATCCCTTGTTAAAATGATGGCCAAACTGTCTTGTAAAAAGTCATATGAGAAAACAGTTCCTATGATTTCAATTAAGATCTTACTGACTGAAAGTCTTAAATAAGACGGATGCTACTTCTGAATGTGGTTCCTGAGTCTGTAGGTGGAGTTCATGTGTGGCTTAGTAGACAGATAGCAAGGCCTAAGGCTGTTTTATGTGAACACTGCACAACACTTTCGCCTCTAGAGGGCATTTCAGATACCAAGGGATATAGGAACTCTTCTTGAAAATCCTGATTTCTAGCAGTGTAGGAAGCAGTCCATCCTCAGAAATAAGGAGGGGTAGACTAATGAGACTTAAATACTCAAGTTCCGACATCAATTCAGCTTAAGGACTGTGTATTTTAATGAAATGAAAATAGTTGCTGTATTGATAAAGTGAGATTACAGTTTTTATTAAAATTACAATTTATGAGCCAGGCAAGGTGGCACATGACTATAATCTCAGCTTCTCAAGAGGCCAAGGCAGGAGTTTCTCAAGTTTGAGACCAGCCTCAATGACTTAGAGAGAACCTATCTCAAAGTAAAATTTATATATATATATATATATATATATATATATATATATATATATATAGAGAGAGAGAGAGAGAGAGAGAGAGAGAGAGAGAGAGATGTAGCTCAGTGCCTGCCTAGCACATATAAGGCCCTGGGTTCAATCCCCAGTACCAGAAAAAAGTATTACAATTTGTATTTTTCAAATTCAGTTTAATATCATATACTTTTAAAAATTTATTAATTTTGTACAATTAATTCACTCTCCTCAAACCACTGATTTTTAAAAGTATTGCATAAACCATTAGCTTTTTAAAAATTAAGTATTGCAAAACTCTTGAGTAAAGTGAAACTATAGCTATTGCAAAGAGAAATCACAGTTTCTAATTCACCTGTTCATTCAACAATTAATCATCTATTGGAGCCAGACACTGGACTGAACTCTAGATATATACTGATAAACAAACACAAACACAGATGCTGAGTTTGTGGGTCATGGAGATAACAGCCTTCCAATAGAGACAGAGAGTAATCAGTCACTCAAGGAAGTATAAAAGTAAACTTTGGAGTGAAACTACAAAATATATGTATCGTGAACAGAGGAAGATCAGACAAAGCTTCTCAGAACAAATACAACCAAGATCTCAATATAGCTAGAGGAACAGGTTGATGATAGAAGGAAATATATTCCAGGCAGATACAAGAGAACATTGAAAGCCCCTGGTGCTTAGGCAAGAAATAAAAGGGACACTGACATATGCTGTTATACATGGGAGGTTATTATGTACCCATACATAGATGGTTTTTAATACACCATCAAACAATACAGCAGATATCAGTAGAATTATATTCCATTTAGCCAGGTGAGATGTTTTAGAAGGTGTGAATTTTAAATGATGTTAGTAAAAGCAAGTGATTCAAGGAAAGCCCATAAACCACTCCTTGATATCATATGCACTACATGTAAAAGTGTTGTGAGATGATCCATTCACATTTTGAAAAGGAGGACTCAAAAGATCTTCCATGATTGAACTAAAGGGGCCCTTCTCTGAGGTGGAAAATTGGCATGAGAACCATAGCGGTGGTGAGAGGGAATTAAATGCTAAACTTCCTTTTTTGTTTCATTGATGGGCTCTTGACTGTTCCCTTAGGGACACTTAAGGACTTTTATATACTTCTGTCAATTGTCACACATGGTTAGGGTATTGTAAGAAAGGACTAGTACGTTAGCACAGAATCTGAAATGGTACCAGATGAATTATTTGAATATTCAACACAAACAAACATACAAGAGCGTTAGGGTACAGAGTTTTGAATTTACATTTCATACCTCAACAAGCTCAAATACCACTCATTTTGAAGATGGGATGTGCCATGATACATAGCTCCAGCAAATAAATCCTAATTCAAAGACTGTCCAACATAATGAATAAAGGCATTTTTTGTTACCAATGTTATAATTTTGATTACCTCTTACATCTACGCCTCTTATATTAATACTATTATTAAATGGAACTCATACTATCACTTTATAAATTTCAAAGGAATATATAAATTGATCAAGATTCATTGTGTTAAGTGAATTTAGAAAAGAAAAATACAGATGAATGCTTTATGTAAATTGAAAAAGCTGTTATTTATCACTCCAGCAGCATCTTAGATATAACCGTAGAATAACTCTGGTGATTCTTCTGTAAAATTTAGAGCTTATGTATTTCAGGAGAACAAATCAGTTAATTCCTACTATGTTTTATGATTTTTCCAAAGTTAAAAATAATGTCTCTTTTAAGGAGAAGTTACAAAGCAGATGAAGTTTTTAAAATTTGTTTTTATTGGTACATTATTATTATACATGACAGTGGGATTCATTATGCCACATTCATAGATGCAAGTGACATAACAATCTCATTCTCCAGTACCTTCTCTTTCTTCCCCCCTCCTCCCTCCCCCCATTTTCTTGCTCTACCAATCTCCTTTCTATTATTATTTTTCCACTAGTGCTTTATAATTATAAATGGGATTCATTGTGGTCTATTTGTACGGACATAGGATAATTTGGTCAGTTTAATTTCCTAGTACTTCCCATGCCCTCTCTTCCTCTCTCTGTCTTGAACCCTTCCTTCTTTATTAGTCTTCTATTTTCATGAGACGGGGATGAAATTTTAACATACTCACATCTATAAATACATAGAAAGAATAGAACCATAGAGGAATAAGTGGAAAAAAGTAGACTGGAAGTCTCTCTAATCATTTAGAAAGATGTTAAAAATTTTGATGTGTGAAGCCCACCCAGATTGGGGTTAGGCTTAGGCATTTTTTTAAAGACTCCTTGGGAGGTTTTAAAGGGCTTCCTGGGTTGAGAGCTGCTGTTCAACCCACAGCAGAGAGATCTGATGCAGAGAGTTCTTCAGTTAAGTAATGTGGAAACACCTGCCGACCATGCATCTCTCTGGAGGAATTTTGCATTCCTGGGTTTCCTAAGAAAACACTTACTGAAGATAATGGCATCTGTGAGATTAGACACAAAATAAAATTTGTTTTTACGTAGTTTAACTCAAGGAGCAGTATCCAAAAACAATATTCCTGTCTCAGGTTTTCAACAAATCCTGTGCCTAACTGTAATAAAATACATTTTTTATCTTAAAATGCACTTTTTATCTGCCAGACCTTTTATCAAATGTCTACTATGATGTGCCAAGCATTATAATAGGAATGTTTATATGCAGATTGTTTTCTAGGGCACTTGTTAAGAAGTTACTCTCTCCTTGCCTCTCTAAATCAGAACTAAGTACCCTGCTTCAAGGATTTGAATATGTGATCTGGGTAGATTTCATCCCAACTCTATAATTCATCAACGGTTTGAATGAATTATACAACAAATGGAAAGTGTTCCGCTATTATCATGTACTGCAAGGCACTGTATTGGGCGTTGTGGAGGATCCAGAGGAGGTGGTAACGATGACAGTCATGGTGATGGTGGTGATAATGGCGATGAAGATGACAGTAACTATCACTTTAACTAGATTATTTCATTGAAGCCCTATACAAAAGTATAAAGTGGTAAGATGAATCAATTTCTTTTTCTTTAAACCCCAAGTTGTCTCAAAATGATATTACAATGTTATTGACTTCATAATACTATTGACAAAGACTCTCCCGTGATGGAAGATTGGTCAGATTTTCCTTTAGACTTCATTCCCCTCTTTTCTCTCTGTATCTGGCCTGTGCTACCCAGTTGTAGCAAGAGCTGTGTAGAGAGAATCTCCCTCCTACCTCAATCTCTGACAACCCTCAGTATCTCATCCATTTCCTCATCTCCCACCCTTGGTATCCAATTACCCTGACCTGCCTTGAACAAGCAAAAATTTTATAAGGTTCATTTAACCAGAATCTTCCTTATCCCTGGTGTTTATGTTTAGTAAATTTCCATCTACTCACCTTAGTTCTGTTTGGGGGCTATAAATCTCGACTGGTTCAAACTGGTTCATACTGGATTCAGAATGGATTCCAGTGCTATGCTGGAGTTCTCTTTTCTCCTATTGCAATAGTTCCTGAATAAAACCTACTTATTCTACTAAAATGGATGCTTTTGTATCCTCCTTTATAAAGGAGGAATATAAAATGGGAGAGATTAAAGGAAACACCAGGGTTGCCAGCCAGTGAACAATGAACTCAGACTTTGAAACCAAGATGGCTGATTCTGTACCTAAAACTCATTTCAGAATTGTGCTTCAAGAGCTTATAATTCCAAGGGATTTCTCCCTGCTGTATTTCCTTGCTTGTCAATCTGTGACTGAGATAGGTGGTATATGTTAAAGCTCTAAATTGGAGTACTATCTTTAAAGAAGGAATGACCAATAAATGTGTCCTCTAACGAGGTCCAATTTGCAGCTCTAGTGTCAAGGACAATATCCATTTGGTTAAGTAAAGCTCTGAGAGATGTGTTACTGAAAAAAGTTGACTGAGTCTTATCCCCTGCTAGGAAACATACTATGTATTTTACATGTGTGAAATTTAAACACCTTGTTACTTAAGGTCAACAATTGCTGTAATAAACCAAGGAGACTTCAGATCCAACAG